TTTCACCAGTGTGACCAGAAGTCACGCAGGGCAGGCAGGGATGGGCAGCCTCTGCAGGGTGAGCTCCTCATGAGGCATCTCATGGGCAGAGACCACAGCTCTTCCTACACTCCCACCCAGCACCACAGAGCTGGGGAACCTTCCTCCAGTGGCTCACAGTAAACCACAAACCCTTCCCTGGTGACTCAGGTGCTGATGATTGAGGAGGGTGGAAGTGATTTTTCCCCCTGGCCTGTGCTCTCACTCAGTAATAACAGTGATATAACCAGGCAGCTTTTTCACATCCACTGCCACTGGTTTCCCTCTCATTTTGCAAGTATTTAATTCTGTGTTGCTCAAGCAGAGGCCTCTTGGTGACAAGTCTGGAGGCAGGGCTGTCAGTGATGGTCAGATTTGCAGAGATACATGCACTACTGACTGTATCTAAGCTACATTTTAAGGGAGAGCAGGACATGGAGAGTTAACATAAACCACTTCCACTGGCATCCCATAGAGCAACAGACAAACACAAACACTACTTAATGTATTAGGGACTACTGCAAAAGCAGGCCAGGAAGGAAGTCAGGTGTCTGGAAGCCTAGGCTAGCTCTTCCCAGCAGCATGAACATCTGCCATAAATTCTAGGTTATTGCAGGCATGTGTCACACAGAGACAAGGCTTTTACCTTCAGCAAGCTTCAGCTCAGAAAATTCTTAACAGGTATTTGTGCTTGACAGCACAGCTTTAATAACATTAGCAGCACTAGAAGAAGCAGGAACAAAATTGTAAACAGAAGATCCAAAGCTACATGGAATCGCTTTTTAAATTAAAGAGGCCCAAGAAGGTGGCATAGGCATTTATTACTCTTCATTCTCATCAGGATGATCAGTTTCAAATGTTGCCAGCAGGCAGTGGGCATCTACAGCAGCCTTAGAGACAGGGCCTCTTGCACTTCTGAAGGCATCATTCTGAGCATCACCTTATGGTACTGGCCTTGATATCACATTTTGGGAGCTTCAGAATGAATTGGGGAAGCAATAACCCTAAACACAGTGAGGCTGTCTGATCTCTCCCCTGCCTGAAGTAGGGGCATAAGCAGGGCATTTCCACTGTGCATCCCATTCCCTGCAGCCCAGGGTGAGCAGGAAAGCCCCCGTTCAGTTCCCACTGAGGGACACCCGGTGCTGGGAGGCAAAGGGAGGTTTGAGGAACATCATGAGGGACCCAGGTGGGGATGGTGAGGGGGAGGGAAGGGGTGATGGAAATGGAGAGCATGAATTTCTGTGCTGTCCCTTGCAGGTACCTTTGGTGCCACGCTGGAGTTTGTGTGTGTGAGTGAGTGTGTGAGTGTGTGTGAGAGTGTGAGTGTGAGTGTGAGTGTGAGTGAGAGTGTGAGTGTGTGTGTGTGCACCACTCTGCGGGTGGCCTTTCCATGGGCAGCCGGGTCCCCACTGAAGGGATGCTGTGGCTCTGAGGGTGGCTGGAGGAGCCGTTTTGGTGGCAGAGTAATGGGTGTGATTCAATCACCTCCTCCTTCTGCCTTCCTTCCCCTTCCCTTCCTCCTCTGTGTCCAGCGCTCCTGGCAGCAGCCCAGGAAGTCATGGGACAGTTCTGGTCCCTGCGGACCGATCATCCATTTATCCATCCGTCCGTCCGTCCATCCATCCGTCCGTCCGTCCGTCCGTCCCGCGCTCTGTCCCGGGCCGCATCCCGGCGGTCCCGCGGAGCTGCGGAGCGCTCCGGGAGTTCCCGCTGCCGCTTCTCAGCTTCGGGCGGCCAGGACACCCCTCCCGTGTGCGGGGCACCTCGTGGTGCAAGTGCCAGCACCCCAAGGCCACCCGAGCACCCCAAAGCCCCCGAGCACCCCAAAGCCTCCCGCATGCTCCCCCTGTCCCGCCGGCGCCGCTCCCCGGGGCTCCCCCGCCGAGGGCACACTCCCCAGCCGCAGCGATGGGGAAAATAGAGGATCATGGACTTGCCCGCATGAGCTTTCATTCCCTTCTTCCCACTTTTTAACCTTTATATCAGTTGTTAGAAACTAGCCCTGCCTCGGGACTGTACCGTGCTCTGAACCCAAGGGAGGTGAAGGTGGGAGAAGAGGGTTGGAGGGATGGGATGGATGAAATGCAGTCAAAGTTGGTTTCACCCCTCCCGACACCCCCTCCTTCTCCTCCAATTCAAAATCAGGAATTACTGCCCGAGGAGCAGATTCTCCGTTTTATTGGCTCGTAAAAAAAAAAAGTTTTCAAAGCCTAATTTCCACCAGATACATTGATTTTCCGTTGAAAACAGAATTAAAACAATAAGCGCGAGTGAGTGCCATTAAAGCTAAACCATTTCTGGCCGTTAATCACGGGAGACAAGGATTAGAAAAGTCAGTGAAGGAGCGCTGGGTTTGAAACGCAAAAATCCGGAGTTTAGGAAGAGTAAGCTTAGAGGCGGCTGAAGCAGCTTAAGAAACAAGGGGAAACCCTTAATAAGAGTTAAAATTCAGTGTCAGGTTACTTGTCGATATTGCGAGGAATACGCCGTTCCTGCAAGGGATTTGTGGTTGTGAAACGCATCCCCTGCTAAAATACCGTTTGATGTTCGTGTCGAAGAGAAAACCAAATCAATCTTTTTTCCTTTTAAGTCCCGATTTCAAAACAAAAAAACTCCCGCCAAACTAAAACCAAGCAAAAGAAAAAAAAATCCCACTAAATTTCCAATGTGATCTTTGAAGAGTTTTCCTGGAGATATTTGCTTCAAACCTCACAGGCGCAGTACCCCTGTGTTCCCGAGGTCTCCCTGCCCTCCCTTCCCCCTTTTCTGCTGCTTGGATGGACGGCAATGCCCGTCTAAATAATTGCTAGAATTCGGAAAAAAAAAAAAAAAAAGAAGAAGAAGGGAAAAAAAAAGCCGGGAAAATGCGCACCAGCATTCAGGTGCTAACCTACTTATTTGAAAGCAATTTATTTTCCATTTTGCCCGTTTTCCCTCTTTAAAACAGAACGCTGAAAGAAAGAATAAGTGCTTTAACATTTCAGTGTTGTGCTCTGGTAATTACTTTTTCACTTTTCCCCTAAGTTCCAATGTGAAAACCTCACAGGGGGGTCTTTGCTGTAGCAGGGCTACAGTTCCCAATCCCAAGCGCAAGATCTGCAATTACAAACCCATTCGGTGCCCTTCCCTATCATTAATATGCACAAAATCCTGCTGCTAATCTTATAATCTGTTTTGTTTCATCAATTGCTTGCCTAGCACCAGGCGGGAAAGAAAAAGAGAGAAAGAAAAAGAAAGAAAGAGGAGAAGAATAAAGCCGGAAAATCACGGAAAGCTTCGGAAAGTAAACGGAAAAGCCAAATAAATCGGATTTTATTTTTGATAAAGCAAAAATCGTTAAGGCTGCTAAAAGGAAGCGGGATTTTTCGGTGGAGGGGTGGGCGTCCGGGAAATTTAAGGAAAAATCGGAATATATCCAGCATTTTATTTGCATATTAGATTTCTCCGAGTGCGGGTCACGAAGTTCCTTCAGCAGTGAGCTGCGGAGGAGGGAGGGGGCGCGTAAACACCTCGGCAGAGTGTATTCCCCGAGTGCATTCCCAGAGTGTATGCCCAGAGTGTATTCCCATCCCTTCTGTTTGCGGGGGGAAGGATGCGCCGGGCGCGGCCGAGCCGCGGGTGCGGGTCCGGAGCGCCCCCACCGCGCCCTGCTCAGCCGGGCGCTCAGACTCCGCTAAAACAATGAAGACGTTCGCTTCTGAAATGGTCCTCATCCTACTCCTCCCCCCACCGCTCCCTCTTCCTGCGCGGTATTAAGGGAATAAAACCATCCACACCACACGCGTCCTATTGAGATTAATGTAAAAATTATCCCCCCCCCCGAAAAAAAAGGGAAAAAACCCAATTCACACCAAAGAAAAAACCAACCCCAAACAACCCTTATCTCATATATCTTATTCTCCTTGCCCCGCGCCAGGCCCCGCCGCCGCCTCGCCGTGCACCTGATGATTTATTAACGCAATCTGCGGGGAGAGCGACACGCGTGCCCGGCCGCGGCTCGTCCCAGCTCATCTCCTAAGTAATTGTTTCTCATTAGTTCTGATAATGTTTTAATAGCGCTGCCCGTAATTTAGCCAGCCTGGAATTAATAACGGAGGGTGTCCTGAAACGCGCGGGGATGGGGGGGAGCTGCCCTATAAGCAGGTAGTCTTTAATTAATCAGATTAGCCCGGAGGTCCCCGCGCTGTAAGGGATGCCCCGGCAGCGCCTGGGACGGGACCCGGGGGGCGGAGGGGGAGAGGGGGATCGGCCCTGGCTGCTCATCCCCAACTCCGCCAGGGGCTGCGGGGCTCTCCCGGGGCCTCCCGGCGGGCAGGACGGGGCTGAGCTGCGCTCCCGGTCCCGGTCCCGCTGCCGCTCCCGCTCCCGTTCCCGCTCCCGCTCCCGGCCCGGCCCCGCCGTTCCCGGGGGAGCCGCCGAGAGGCGCTCCCGCCGCCCCCGCGCTTCCCTTCCCTCGCTGCTTCCACGGGCCGGATGGTGGGGTTCTCCCTCCCCCCTTTTCCTCTCCCCTTAATTAAACCGAAAATAACCCAAAATAAGTGAAAGCGCTGCTCGGAGACGGAGGGGAAACACACTAAGCGGGGAAACGGGAGGAATAAGGCACTGTGGTTCCATATGTGAAATGGCCATGGAGGCGGTGAGAAATGAAACTAAAAAACAACTGTTTTCTATTTACAATTTTAAATAAACAGAACAGCCTTCCCCGCGGTGTTTGTCTAAGTGCAGCAGCATTGCTGCTGTGTAGGTCATGAAAAGGTTGGTGCATAGTTTAAAACTTCCCATTCTGTTAATTTCTTAAAGAACAGTCGTTCATAGTCTGAGCACAAAAGCTCATGATTTAATGAGGAACAGAAACAAAATCTCTGATTGTTGGTGTTTCAAACTTCATTGGAGTCCTCTGGCAACCACAAGTTGATCCTCTGCAGCTTCAATACCCTTTAGCCCTCCATATAAGAGTACATGCTGAATAGAGGACAATGCCTGGTTGTTATGTTTATTTACCCTTACTACAAGCTGGGTTAACCTCTTCAAAACAGCTTTACTAAGCCCGTTAACCACACAGCCCACATGATCTGTAGCCGTATCCCTAATGTGATGTAAATCTGACTCGAGACCATATGCACAAGTTCTGCTGCATTGTGTCTCCAAAAACTACAAGTTTATTGCCGTCCAACCCTTCCCGGGCTGGACGCTTCCAGGAGGAAACTCTCTGAATAGAGACTGCTTAAAAAAAGGGAGAAGAAAGTCAAGAGTCCTGCATTGTTGGAGCATTATTTTTAATGGCTGTTGCACACTTACAGAAGGGCAGTGTGGGGGGAAAGCAAAGCTCACAAAGGGTAAAGATTTTCATCGCAGTTATTTCAACTGGTGCGTAATTATTCGAGGCTTTCTCCTTTCTGCCAGGAGTTCTGCATCAGAGCAGGAAGAAGCACAGAAAGAAATAGAAAGAATTGAATTAGTTTCCATCTGCTCTTCAACAGAGCTCAGGGCTCACGTTTTGCCTTTCTCTTTCTCTGAAGTAATACTCCCACATTTGCAGTAATTACTGTGATGTCACAGATTTGATGATGTAACTTCATTGCAGGCTATGAGTAGAACATGGGGCATGCAGCAGTGAGCAGTGGTTTGAGTTGGGAACAGTTTTAGCAATTAGCAATTCCAGCAAGCAAACTATGACAGATCTGCAAAATGGAAATGAATTTCTGTTTAAGCCTGACGTCTTTAATTTTACACCCCCCTTCCCCCTCCCCAAAGTATTACAGTCATCTTTTAAAACAGCTACTGGGGCCCCATGGCGAGAGCTTCATTTACCAGCTCATTTTTTCTTGATGGCTGTGGCAAGTGTAACAATGTTCTGTGCCTGCTTCAGTAATGGCATGTCGATCATGCTCCCGCGGAAAGTAAACGCTCCCTGGAAAAGAGAGAATATGAACTTCCTGAGACACCTTAGGAAATTGTAGTTGCCCTGTCTTGCTCTTTACAAACACATCTGTTTGCCAAGAAACATCATCTCCCTCAAAAATCCTGAAGAAGTTTTAGGAGACAAACTCATTGAGACAGGGCAAGTGCATTTAAGGAAATGTGAAGGGCAGCAAGCTCTCCAAAGGGGAGGCAAAAAGAGAGAGAAAGAGAAGCCCAGGGTGCAGCTGGCCTGTTTCAGCCTCCCTAGCTGGCAAACACCGAGGGCCAAGAGCAGTGAGGCTGTGTGTGCCAGCTGGGGAGAGGGGCTGGCACACCCCACACTGGCGGCAGCTCTGTTCCCCACCTTTGGCATCACCATCCAGCATCCAGCAGGGCTGTGCCACAGGGCCAGCGGGAAACTGCCTGCAGAGAGAGGGAAAGCCAGAAGTTCCCTTTGTCAGCAACCAGCAGTGGGTGTTTGTGGGGATGGAGGGAAGTTTTCTGGACTCGGGGGTTTGCTGAGGTTGTGCTGCTGCTGCTGCACCTCTCCATCAGTGCTAAAGACAGGCTGGGCCTGTGCTGAGAACCAGGGACTGGGATGAAAGCTGAAATAACCGAGTGGGTGGCACAATAATATTACCCAAATCTCCTCTGGAGCCAAGGTAAAGCTCACCTGAGCACCACACATAGGGAATTTTCCCAAATGGATGCAGAGCTACTCTGTGTGCCTCAGCAGTGGCGATCTGAGAGTCAGGACAGGTTTCAAAAGTCACTTTGTATTCCTAAGGATTTTTTGTTGGTACAATGGTGACAAGTTTAAAACAATTAACTATGAATCATAGTTAAATCTTAAACAGAAGACATATACTTTAAATAGTGCCAAACCTGACTTGTTCCCTTAGAGGCTTTAATCCCCACTGAGGTAGGATTTGGAAGATAAAACACTGCATTAAGACATGCTGAAGTTCAACAGACAAAAAAAAAAAAAATCTTATTTGCAATTCTAACAGTATTTTGGCACATTAAAAAAACCCCTAAAAACAAACCCAAAAATCCAAGTGCAAAGGTGCAATCCCTTCCCTGAAGAACTCAGAGCTGAGCCCCAGCAGTGCATGGGGTGGCTCTGAGAAGCACTGCACACCCTTTGAATGTCCTGCTGCAATCCATACGGGATCACAGGCTGGCCTTGGGTTTGACAGTGAGCCAGGCTAACCAGGAGCAGCACATGTGTCTGTGCATGAGCAGTGCATGAGAGAAATGCACAGAACAAACCTTTTTCTAGTTTTCATTTGAGGCTTGATAATTATTAAATAGAGGACTCCAGCAAGTAAAGTGAAAACAAAACCCATTTACAAAAATATTTAGGAAATGTGTTGCTCCAGTGGCATATCTAGCTAAACTGAAGCAGCATTAATTCAATACCAAATCATGTTCTGGAATAATTAAGATAAAAATCCACCTTAAACAGTAATCTAACACAAATCAATATTCTTGCGAATAAGAGCAGGCTGCATTAAAGCCATTGAAAACATAATAGTAAACCAATTATTTTATTCAAAGTAGATTTTCCTACTATAATTTGCAATATTTAATGTAGGTTTGGAGAATGGTAGTGACAGATACTCAAGGGTTGGTGCTTCAAATGGAATTTTTTTTGTGTACTGAGCAAACAAGCAATCCTACTGTACCCCAAAACCAACATCAATATTATTGTATTTCTACTATTAATAATATATCACTTCTAATTATAGTTACATCTCTGTAGTTTCCAGTTATACTTTTAAAACTTTAAAGAAAATGCAGTCTCAAATGATTAAATTTATTAATGGTTGTGAAAAAAAAAAGGAACTAAGTAAACACTTTATGACATAGAACTTATTTGAAATAATTCAGGTCTATGCAGCGATCACAAACTGCAAGGTAGATTTTTTAACTGTAAGAAAAGTATCCTTTACCTGTCCTTTTTTTTTTCTGTAAGCATCAGTAATGCCTACTCACTAACAGCTAATTCAGTGACAAAATAAGAGTAGAGCTAATTCAGTAACAGCTATTGCTTAGAGAAGAAATTTGCATGTGGGATGACAGTCATATGTAGAAACATGTTGAATCATCTTTCAACAAAATCATCTTTCCTAGTTCTGTAAAAGGCTGATTTAGGAGTACAGCTATCCTAAGTACCTGCAATGGTTTGCAGAAAGAGATGGGTGCCTAGCATTGTCAGTTCTGATCTCTGGTGGTCCAAACCATGGCTGGGAGGGTCTCAACCCTGCCACTGACTGGATACAGAATGATCTAAAGTCAGACACCTCTGCAGGTATCTAAGCTGTACCATGATGAATCTTGGCAGAATGTCTTTATACAGCAAGAGTTAATTGAACAGCAAGCTTGTCCTCTCTTCATTAAAGTAGTATGTTTAAAAGGAAAACAGGCTAATGGTGTGTACATGGACACACAAACACTGAACCACGTGAGAAACACAGCACATTTCCTGCTTGTCAGTGTGCAGCTGTACTGCGGGTTGCTAGGAATTTGAATTCTTGAAGGAAAAAATGCCTTTTTTTTTTCCCCTAACAGCAAAGGGTAACATGAAGTTGGCTTCTCTGCCTGCTCACTCTGAGGCTTATTTTCCCCCTGCTAATTTGCAGTGTTGAGCTAAAGTCCAGAAAAAGAAACTAATTTTAATGCCATTGAATATACCCTATTCACTGACTCTCTTTGCACCCACAGGTTTCAACAGATAGGAAATACCAGTAATTACAGCTTTGTCCCCATGCTCTCTTTTCCAATTCTGCTAGACGAAATTTGCCTCTAGCATTCTTTTGATTTCCTCTCACATGAATATAAAGAAAACAAGACTTTCTATAAACACCGTTTGCTTTGATAGCATTAATCTGGGGATTAATTTAGCCATAGATCTAAATTTTGTTTTTGGCTAATTTTCTCAACAATCTCACACTTCCAGTCTGTACTTAGATTTCCAATAGTTCTGCTATGGGACTAAGGGCCTGCTCTTAAGGAAGCTTGCAGCATGAACAGGAGCAATGGCAGGTGGGTAAAGCAGGGCTGGGATTTGCTTCCATCCCCTTTGGTGGCTGTGGTTCTTACTCACCATGCAATCATATAAATCATTCAGAGGAAGCCTTTTCAGAAACATGTAAAGTGACCGTGCCATCAGACTAATCAAATGTGTCATACCTGCCTTGGGAAGAGACAGGCCCTCCAGGTAGAGGCTGATGGAGAAGTGGGAAGGAGGAGCATGCAGGAGGCAGAGCTGCAGACGATGGGCACAGCTTCTGGGTGGAAATACCTGGATGCAAATGCTTCAGCTGGGATGAGAGGTGGGGGAATGGAGGACAACTGTGGCACTCACCAGACAGCAGTCTGGAAGTGCAGCCCTACTGAGGAATGGGCAGATCCATGGGCCAAAGACAGATTGGTGTGCCCCTGTTTAAAGTGGCACAGCACAGATTCTGCTGTGCCTATTGAGTGCCATCCTCCATGCAGCCACACAGAGAATATGCAGAAGGCACAGCCCTGTGAGAAATAGGGTGACTTTGGTCTGCAGTGTTTGGGAGCTGTAAGGGCACTTTGGCTGGTGCAACTGCACGGCTGTGAAGGCAGCACAACACAGCAGAAGGGTTTGTAAACACAAAATGTCTGTGCTCCCTCAGCCTGATGGCTCTACAGCTCTGGCAGGGCAGACTACCAAGGAGTGACCAAGGCAGAAAGTGAATGGACAGTGTGCCCTGTTTGGGTCATCATTCAGACTATCTAAAAGTCCTTCCCAACTGATTGACAAGCAAGGAAAGACTCAAGGTTTTTCCTTCTGGCATGAAGTATTATTCAGTGACATTTAATGCTCTATGGGGACAGTAGTAACATTTTTGAAAAATAACAGCAATTTATGCAAGATACAGGCCAGGCTGACTAAGGCCTTAATAGCTCTACTTCAAATGTCAGTATAACCTGAAGAGCTGTGAGGATGGGAAAAAGAAGATTTAGCAAATACAGAAAACAATTGCAAGTGAATTAAAATTATAGACAGCAGTTAGTGGTTTTTTTTTGTTTTTGTTTTTTTTTTCCCCTCAGAGGTAATGGCAAATTATAATCTTGGAAAAATGGAAATTGACAATGGTCAGCTCCAAGTGATACAAGGATCCAGCCTGCAGGCAAGAGAAGCCATAAGGCACATAAGGCATAGCTGACAGAGAACAGTCATTTTCACAGGTCAGGGCATGAAGATACAGGTTTGTGATATAGGAGGGCAAATCAGTTGTGCAATAAAAATACCAAACGCAACAAATTTCCAGGTGGTTGTGGAGACACTGAAGAGATGCAGAACCTAACTTTGCAGCACACAAGCCTGTCAGATTTTATGCTTGTAACATACGAACCTCCTCTTAGATAAATGCAGCCACTCCAGCACAGCTCAGATCTGGCAAAGTTCAACATGTAATTGAGGGCTAGGGCTCTTCTTTGACAACTTAGAATGCAAGCCTGGTTGCATGCTGCCATGAATCTTGAAGATGGCTCTTGTTACCTGTATGTCATCTTGTTATCTATATGTCATCTTTAAAGATTTCCTTTATTTATAAGAAATGACATGTATCAAGTCACATGTATCAAGTCTCTCTTGGTCTGTCATTTGCCATGGCAAAAGATGAGCACATTATTGCAATGTTTCCTAGAACATGAAGACCTCCTCTTTTTGTGTGTGTCTTTCCTGTATTCGGGAACATTTACTTTGTGGAACTTTTGGGAGAGGTTAAGAGCTTGGAAAATCTGTAAGACCACTTCATAACCAGAGTAATAGTGGTTTCTAGTGGCAAGAAGGTTTTTACCTTTCTAGAAGTTAAATGGACAGGATTCAGGGTCCATTATTTCAGTGTTGTCTAGGGATCAGTATTCTCTGGTGGAACCAGGAGAGAGGAAGAAATGATACAGGTGCTAGTGTTTACCATGGGTGTAATGGAATGGTGTTAAATATGGAACTGTGTTGACTTTGCACAG